TATATATATATATATATATATATATATATATATATATATATATATATATATATATATATATGTAAAAATATTAATCAACAATTATCAACAATTCAATTTTATTATATCCAATAATTCAACAACATAAAAATAAGTTTAACTTAACAATCTGACAAACTTTCCATAGTTACTTATAACAGTAGTTACACGTCACCAACCACACTTTTAAATTTGTGATACTATGATATTTTTTTAACTTATTTTATTTATATGTTGATTTTACAAAGGTTATCACACATGCTGACATTTATTTTAGGCCACATTTATCAGTAACTTTTAATTGATTTTATTGATTTAACTTTTCATATCATATAATTCAACACAATATTTAAATTAAATAATTAATACATGCAATTTTAGACTGACGATGGCACTAGCCGAAACGGCTGTCAGCCAAATCACGGACTTAAATAAATATGAGTCTGATAAATTACGTCTTGTTAAAGTCTTATTTATAAAGCAAATAACTACAAATTGGGGTATTATTTTTAATCGAACATGTCTTTCTGAAAACCTCGTACCAAATTATATATATATATATATATATATATATAACAATAAATAATTATAACACATGAATCATTCTCTGTCAACTTAAGACTCAAGAGTTAGAAAAATTCATGCCAGACCAAAACCGAATTTTGTAATTTTAGCAGTTTTAGAATCGGACTCGTTATTTAAGCAAATTGCATGAACATCTTTCTACAAACAAAAGTTTGAATTGAACCAACCAGTAGGAAGGAGGCTATGATATGACTGAAACATTTTCAGAGGTGTTTCCAGGTCAACCAATGATTCCGCTTCTTTGGTTTTATGTGCTTTGCTTTTCATGTATCCGAACTTCTCAAGATATTTCTAAATTTCATTTAACAGGTTTTTCTATTTAAAAATATTTAAAAAGTAATACATAAGAAATTAGAGACGTAGCCAAAGCACCTGAAGAAACCCATTATAGTTTTTTTATTGTTAAAATTAAATTTAAAAAAATCTTTATGTAAATTTTATGAACTTTTTTTCAAATTGGTAGAGACTCTGTAAAACAGCAATTTTTGCCAAATTTGAATATAAAATACTTCAAATTGAACAAACAGGGTCGTCAACTTTTTTTAAGAATCCCAGTCCTAAAACAAATAAATTTCTGGCTACGAGACTGTTTCTAGAAAAACATTCTTTTACTAAATTTATAGTCGAAAAGTGATGAAATTGTTTGGTAGTTATTTAGACTAACATTTGCATCATAAAGATTCTCAACAACTTTTGTTCTTGCAACATTTCTTGCCACAAACAGAGGTGTTGTTGTTGATGTTTTTGTTGGCGTTGTTATCGTCGTTGTTTTAAATAATGGAGAAGCTTGTCCCAATATAAAAAGACTTAATAAAGTTATTGAAATTTTTTTAATATCAAACATTCCATCAAAAACTTGAAGACAATTAAAATTAATCATTTGCTTAATTAAATAATCAAATAATATGGATTAAATTTTGAAGAAGTTTAATTCAATTCTTTTAATGTTACTTCCAAATACCATTTTAAGGTAGCTTAAATTCAATCAAAATGTTGAACAGCTTATATAGAAAACTTCTTGCCTGAACATCGCTGCACCAAAAATTAAACAAATACACATTAGTTTTTTAAAATATCGTTGTTAGTCTTTAATAAACGAATAAATGAAAAATAAATTTTATTATTTTTATTATTATCACGACTGAGTTAAATGCAGTTAAATGTGTAAATGGCTGAGAAAATGTTTGTCTTCAGCGCTCCCAATTGTTTGTATAAGTATTTATACCATGTTTGTGATAAAAACGAATCGAACTTTTTTCTTAAATATTTTTTAATTGAAACTGTCGCTTACGTTAAATCGTTAAACTGCTATCCTTCATCAAACCGTGCGAACCCAGGCACAAAACCGTTTACAAACTATTCAACACATTATCGACAGTAGATGCTTACGCACAACTCACACACACACACACACATAAAAGCATTTGCGTGTACATGAAAATTTATTTAATTGAACAAATATACACATTTTAAAATTTTAAATTATTAAAAATAAAATTGAAATATGCAAATCACAAATATATACACACACATACAATGATAGATGCTTGCAAAGGCTAACAAATGAAGTTAGAAATTTTTTTCCGCTTGATCTTGATTACTTTTTAAATTTGTTTATGTATGTATGTATTTATGTATGTGTATGTGAGTGTGTGTATGTATGTGTGTGTTGTGTGTGTATCAAATCAAATTTTGTTTTTATATAGCGCCAATTATATTTGCTCCTCATCAGCGCTCTCCTCGTATGAAGCATGTTGAAAGCGAGATCACTAGGTCTTTAGATGTCTTTAGACGTTTGTATGTATGTATATATGTACGTATGTACGTATGTACGTATGTATGTATTTATGTATGTATGTATGTATGTATGTATGTATGTATGTATGTATGTATGTATGTATGTATGTATGTATGTATGTATGTATGTATGTATGTATGTATGTATGTATGTATGTATGTTAAAACCAAATCAGCGATGAGTGACACTAAACAGTCAAACATCTGAATAAAATCGGTTAACAATTGATATTTTTTTTTTCCAATTTATTTTGTCAAAACAGGTAATCAAAAAAGAAAAACTTGTGTAGACTACCTTAACTAAATGGTGCAATTAAATTATATCATTTTAGTAACATAAAACGGACAGAAATGTTCAAAAACAAAATAACAATAAATTGATAATATAATTCAGAACAGTTTAATTTAAAACGAAAATCGAATAAAATTAGAGTTACCTATTATCGCATCAAAAATAAAGTTAACAATTTAATATTTTAGATTTCACAACGTGTTTAAAGTTGACAATTGACATCGATTTATACGCGTTATACGCTAGTTCGTTCCAAAATTTGGCACCTCTAACCATCCAATGACGATCATTTGTGACCGTTCTACTTTTTGGTATTTTTAATAAGCCGTGTTGCCTAGTCGCAGAACTTGTAAACTGAAAAGAGTAGAGAAACTGATAATTGTCATAGTTGATTATTTTGAACAAAAAAATTAAAGTTATATATTTATTAATTTCTTCTATTGTAAGAAATTTATTTTTCATAACTGGTGTGATCATATTTACTTAGGCCGAAACATATGCGCACGAAATACTTCTGTGCAATAAACACCTTATTAATCCAAAACTTAAATGTTGAGCCCCAAAATATGTTGCCGTAAATAAGGTATGGGTAAATAAAAGAATAATACAGCATAAGTTTAGTACCACAATCCAACTTGTCACGGGCCTTATAAACAATGCCTATCACTTTATCTCTATCACTCACGCCAATTTTTATGGAATAGTTGTCAAAAAGTTTATTGTTAGTCCTAATTTTAGGATCAAAGATTATATAACATGATTTATGTAAGTTCAATACCATATTATTTAATTTGAAGTACTTATTATATTTTTTAAGTTCTTCGTTCATTGAATTAAATAAAACTACTGGATCCTTATCAGTCAAAAATACATTGGTGTCATCCGCAAAAAGAATTGAAGTGCAATGATGGGACACCCGAAAAATGTTGTTGACAAATAAAATAAACAACAACGGCCCCAGTATCGATCCTTGGGGCACACCTGTCTGAATGGTCGATGGAGCTGACTCAATACCATCAATCGACACAAGCTGCGTACGATCACATAAATATGACGTTAGCCATCTAGAAGCAACATCTCGAAATCCGTAATTTTTCAACTTTGATAGCAAAATTTTATGATTTATAATGTCGAACGCCTTTTTCAAATCAATGAAAATACCCAATGTAAAAGATTTGGATTCAAAGCCGTTAAGTAAAGACCGGTACAACTCTGCAACTGCTCGCTCAGATGACGATTTAGGAACAAACTGATTTTTGTTAATAATATTAAATTTAATTAAAAATTTCCACATTCGGTTAAACATTAATTTTTCAAAAATTTTGGAAAAAACAGGTAAAATTGAGATGGGTCTATAATTTTCAAATTGGTTAGGGTCACCGCTTTTGAAGATAGGCAAAACTTTGGCTGACTTCAATTTATTTGGAAATTTTCCGATTTTTATAGATTTATTAAATAATTCTGAAAGTGGAGATGCAATATAGTGGATAGTGTTTTTTATTAGTTTTGTGGAGAGAGAGTTTAAGTCATAACTATTTTTTAATTTAATCTTATTAGTAATTAAAATAATTTCATCTGGAGTTGAGTCATACATCTGGAATGCAGGATAGCAAGCACTGCTTGGTGATACATAATCAGCGTTTGTAGAGCCATCAATTAATCTTTGCCCCATTTCAACAAAAAATTTATCGATGCTGTTAACAGTTTCTATTTTTTCCGTCAAATCAAGTTTCCCTTGAAGGGGATGAGATTTTTTAGTACATGGTTTGACAATATTATTGATTGTATTCCATTTTTCTTTAATGGTTTTACAACTTTGGAACTTATTTTCAAAAAATTGTTTTTCTTGTGTTCGTTTAATTTTTGTAAAATGATTTCTATACATACAGTATATGTCTTTTAATTATCAGCCGTTGGATTTAATAAATATTTTTTATATAGAGTGTTTTTATGGATGGAACAGTTATATAATTTTATATTCATCCATGGCTTCCTAAAGCGGTCCCTACGACTTATCATGGGACAAGCGACGTCTATACAGTTCATATAAATTCTAAAAAAATTATCATAATCAATATTCAAAACAATAGAGTCTTGGAGTTCAGGCCACTTTATGCCAGACAGCATACTATTGGCCTCTTGGATATTCTTTTCATCAGTTAATCTGGTATGGATTAAGGGACGTTTACTACATTTATTATTACATTTATTATTTTTATGCGGAATGCATACAAAAATAGGCATATGATCAGTGATATCCTCACAAATTATACCTTTTATCAAACTACAGTTGTCATTAGTTAAGATATTGTCAATGACAGTAGAGCTTGAATCAGTAATTCTTGTAGGTTGGTTGATTAAAAAAAACAATCCAAGACCAGCCATACTATTGATAAAGTTTCGTGAATAAGCATTGTTAACTGCCAGATTTATATTAAAATCCCCCAAGATATATAGTTTGGATTTGCACGCAGGCTTTAATGTGTTGAATAAAAAGTCAGAAAGCGACAAAATAAATTCATTTATGTTGGCATCAGGTGGTTTGTAAACGCATAAGAAGTAATGCTTGTTACCATTTATATTGGTTGTAATGCCCGACCATTCAAAAAAATCAGACGAGTATAAAATGCTATTGTGTAAGTTAGAATAAATAATAGTTCTGTTTATTAAAAATCCTGTACCACCACCTTTCTTATTTATCCTGTTGTTGCACACAAATATATACTCTGGAAATTGAATGTGCGTACTATTATTAATTTCATTGTTTGTAAACCACGTTTCACTCAAGGCTATAATTGCTGGTAGGATACGCATGCCATATATGAATAAAGATATATCATTTAAATGCGCGGCAAAACTGCGACAGTTTAAATGTATAACATTTACATAATGAATATCAGATTTATGACAAATTAAGTTATTAAATTCAATAGTTGAATAATAATTTGATAAGGAATTTAGAAATCCAAAATCATAATTTAAATCCACGTCAATGTCATAAAAATTATTCAGAATCTTATCATTAACATCATCGTCGTCATTATTTTGTACACCAAACTCAATATCTTCATGACCATATATATCAATTTCATCATTAATATTATCATCAATATTATTCACGACAATTTCACTCATATCAACCCCACTACGAACATCCCTCACGACATCATCACTCATTTCAACCCCATTCCAAACGTCACCCATAACATCACCACTCATATCGATCACACTACAAACATCATTCACAGCATTACCACTCATATCCACCACACTACAAACGTCACCCACAACAACCTCACCAACAGCCGAAGCATCAACAGCACCAGTATTTACTAGTATTCACTGTACATTTGTAAACATCATTTGCTTTAATATCCACAGCGTCAAATCCTAATGTTTCATCATTATTAGTATTAAAAAAGTTATCAGTTCTAACAATATTCACCAAATTTTTATTAGAACTTAAGTTTTTTCCATTTATATTTCCACGCATGTCATTCATTGGAAAATCACAAGTATACTTCGCAACATCATGCACCATATCTCTGTATGTATGTATGTATGTATGTATGTATGTATGTATGTATGTATGTATGTATGTATGTATGTATGTATGTATGTATGTATTTATGTATGAATGTATGTATGTATGTATGAATGTATGTATGTATTTATGTACGTATGTATGTATGTATTTATGTATGTATGTATGTATGTATGTATGTATTTATGTATGTATGTATGTATGTATGTATGTATGTATGTATGTATGTATGTATTTATGTATGTATGTATGTATGTATGTATGTATGTATGTATGTATGTATGTATGTATGTATGTATGTATGTATGTATGTATGTATGTATGTATGTATGTATGTATGAATGTATGTATGTATGTATGTACGTATGTATGTATGTATGTATGTATGTATGTATGTATGTATGTATGTATGTATGTATGTATGTATGTATGTATGTATGTATGTATGTATGTATGTATGTATGTATGTATGTATGTATGTATGTATGTATGTATGTATGTATGTATGTATGTATGTATGTATGAATGTATGTATGTATGTATGTATGTATGTATGTA